CTTCCCGCCTGTCGGTTCTGCGCGGCAGTAGCTGGACTAAAGGCGGGCGCAGCGCTTTGGCTCCGCGCTGGTTCGCGGGGGAAGCGCGGTTAATTACTGCCCAACCTGCATCCCCCCCCCCAAATCCCCGCTCCTCAGTGAGGGGTGCCTAGTTGGGGGGGGAGGTCAAGGCTGGCGCAGGCCCCCATGGCATCCCTGGGCTGTGGACTCAGGCCCTTGCCCTGGCCAAGATGCCACCCAGTCTCCTCTAGGGCGGCCAGGCCTGTGCGCCATCAGAAGGCAGCTCCTGGCTCCTTGGCCTGTTCCCCGGAGGCCTTGTCTGTGCCACGCGGGAGCCGGCTCCTCGCCTGCCCGCAGGGAGACCACAGTCTGGGGAAGAGACTGCAGCGATCATTAAAGGCGTTGTAGAGGCACTGGAAGGGGAAGGCCGGGTGGTCTGCCTGTCTGTGCCTCAGTTTCCCGGCTGTGGGAAAAACAGCATTTGACTTGGCCCCTTTCTTTCTGCCGGCCTCCCGGCTCCTGGGACAGGAGTGGAGCCAGAGAGCAATGAAGGGCTGTTTGCAGTGACTGTTCCCGCTCACAGTGTGCAAGGCCTGTTGCAGCGGCAGTGCTCTCTTGTCTTAGCTCAGTGAGGTGCAGCCAAATGGGGACCCAGGTCTCCTGGTGCGGGGTCCCATGGAAGGGGTGCAGGGTTTGGGGCAGGGAACATCTCCTCAGGTGAGCACTGAATCCGGAGAGAGCCAGCTGGGCTTCTGAGGGCTGATGGCCGGTGACACAGAGGGGCAGGGGCTGGGCCAGGGCTGGCAGGCGCCCCTGTAGGGTCCTGGAATAGTGGAGATGCCCAGAGCCCATCCCCATTGCCAGTCGGGACCCCCTTTCAGCCTCTCTGCTGGGAAGGAGGTAGGTGGGGCCTTCACCCCTCAGGCCTGGCTGCCCTTTGAGGGTCTGGCTTCTGGCCCTGATCCCTCCTGGAGCTCTGTTTATGGCTGTAATTGTACCATTAGCCAGAGTTTATAGAGTTACTTAGCACCTGCCCCCACAGGGAGTGGCCCAGCCACCCCGGCTTCTGTCTCTTCCTTTTCAAAGTCAGCTTGGTTTCTGCTGGGGTTTCCCCAACCACAGCGGCATGAAAGCCGGGTTGGGCCTTTGTCCTGTGGACCAGGGCAGTCAGCACTTGGGGCCCAGCCTGGGGCTGCCCTGGAGATGCCCGTGGAAATGGAGCTGAGAAGTGTCCGTATCCCAGGATGCAGTGGTAATGTGTGTAATGTGTGTGTCCTCACCTGAAAAGAGATAAAAATGCACACGCCTCATGGGCTGTTGTGAGGATTCAAGAGGAGCTGTGCCTGGTACATGGTGAGTCCGTGGTGTTGCTCTGGGCGCCAGGATGCAGTGTAATTGATGGGGGTTTGTGTGTGATTATGAAGTACAGGTGTCTAAGTATGTGTGTATAGAGGAATTGTGCAATGCATGTCTGCGAGATTAATAGTAACACAAGATTATATTAATAGACTCTTCATCCATTTTCTTTATGCTATAACAGGACTAAGTTTTTATTATAATAAAACTTAGTTGTCAACAATAGTTGCCAACATTTATTGTGTATTTATTCGTTAGAATGAAGTAGGAATTATGATTTTCATTATACTGACTCAGGAAAGCTAGGGAAGTTGCCTGAAGTTACGCAGCCTAGAAGTAGGAGGGATTCTAACCAAGGCCCAAATGACTCCAGAACCCAGGTTACCAACCCCTAAAGACCACTTCGGGGTTTCCTGGCATTCTCTCTTAAGAGGTGGGAACCGAAGGTGGTCTGAGGTGGTCTGGAACCTTCTTTTTCCATCCAGGTTTCCCACTCTGAGCATGAGCGGGAACTTGATGAGGCCCCTGCCCCAGGACCACACCTGCCTCTTGGCCGCTTCTCCAAGCTGCTGTCACAGGTGATCAAAGGACCCGGCCGAGAACCTTCTTGACTCGCCTGAGTTCACACAGGCTTCCTGGGTCTCCTTGGAAACCACAGGCGTAGCAGACGTCTCCGTACAGTGAAGCCTGAGCTCCGCGGGCACCTGCTTGGTCAGATGGGAGAAAGGGCTGTGGGGACTGTTGGGTGGGAATGGGACAGCAGCGAGAGTTGTGAGCACGGGGAGCGAGCCTCCCTCCGACAGGCGGTGGGGCTGGGCAGGCCCGCTCCTCCCCGTCTCGGTTCCATATCTGTGAACCTAAACCGGTGATGGCGAACCTTTTGAGCTCGGCGTGTCAGCATTTTGAAAACCCTAACTTAACTCTGGTGCCGTGTCACATATAGAAATTTTTTGATATTTGCGACCATAGTAAAACAAAGACATATTTTTGATATTTATTTTATATATCTAAATGCCATTTAACAAAGAAAAATCAACCAAAAAAATGAGTTCGCGTGTCAGAGGTGTCATAGGTTCGCCATCACTGCCCTAAACCACCTGTGGGGTCCCCTCTAACGCGAACCTCCTGCAGGCCCCCGGCAGAGGCACCAGAACAGGAGAGGCTCAGAAAGAGGGACGAGGGGAACTGCGGCATCCACTCACCAGAGGCCGGCCTGGTAGAGCGACCAGCCAGCTTTGCTTGGGACGGAGCCATAGCTCCCATGTAACGAGCACTGGGCTAAGTGTAACCTGGGCGGGGGGTCGTTGAGAGCACGGCTCTGGGGCCAGGCTTCCTGGCTTGGAATCCAGTTCTGCCACTTCCTAGCTGTGTGGCCCTGGGCCAGCTGCTTAACCGCACTGTGCTTCCATTTCCTCACCTCAGCAGCGAGGGTTACAGTAGCTCCGACCTAATGTGCCGTAGTGAGGGCTGTGTTCATGCTCGCTGCATGTGTAGAAGTCAGAATAGTGCCATGCTCAAAAAACGTTGGCTCTGATCGCCCTGGCCGGGGTTGCCCAGTGGTTAGAGCGTTGGCCCTTGGACGGAAGGGTTGCAGGTTCGATTTCTGGTCAAGGATACATACTTGGGTTGCAGGAGTGATCCCCAGCCCCGATTGGGGCATGTGTGGGAGACAGCTGATGGATGTGTTTCTCTCACGTCGATGTTTCTCTCCTCCCTTCCTTTCCTCTCTTCCACTCTCTAAAAATTAATGGGAAAAATATCCTCTGTTGGGGGTTAACAGGAACAACAACAAAATGTTAGTTATTACCATTATCTCTTATAACTCCCCCCTCCCTCCCTCCTCCCTCCCTCCCTCCCTCTCCCTCCCTTCCTTCCTTCCTTCCTTCCGTCCTCATTTCCAAGTGAGGACAGAGAGGCATAGCGAGCTCTAAGAAACAAGACCTGGCTGCAAGTAGTCCCTTGTGTGCTTAACATCTGCAAATGAATACCTGACACTGCTTTGCAGCCTCCATGGCCACAGTCTCCACCATTCCTGTACCGCCCCACCCAGCCTGGTCTCCCATTCAACAGGATAGCCTAGGGCCGCGGTCGGCCAACCGTGGCTCGCGAGCCACATGCGGCTCTTCGGCCCCTTGAGTGTGGCTCTTCCACAAAATACCACGTGCGGGCGCACACGTACAGTACAATTGAAACTTCGTGGCCCATGCACAGAAGTCGGTATTTTGTGGAAGAGCTACACTCAAGGGGCCAAAGAGCCGCATGTAGCTCTCGAGCCGCAGTTTGCCGAGAGCCGCAGTTTGCCGACCACTGGCCTAGGGGACTTGGCAGTGACTGCAACATCTCCACCATCCCCGTCCTGCCTGTCCCTTGGGATTCCTTGAGTGGCATCTGGCCTGGTCGCTTACTTCCACTCCTGACCCGTGGCTCTCCCCTGTGCTCCTGCTGCCTGCCTGCCCCTTCTCCACTCTGCACCAGAGACACAGGTCCCCCCGGCTGCAATGTCACCGGAGGTGGAGCTACAATCCCAGCGATGGAGCAGGATGTGGGACTTGCCATGCCCATAGCAAGTGCTCTGCTGGGGGTGGCGAGGCAGTGGGTGAGGGCAGAGGGCGGCTCAGGGGGCGGAGGCAAGAGGCAGAGCCATTACCAGTCTTTTCTCCTGGCTCTTCAGTGTGGGCAGAAGGAGAAGGAGAAATGGGGTCTGCCCCCCCCCCCTCCCCGTCCAGCTTCCTCCGGGGCAGGCCTCCTGTTGGCTCTGACCCATAGCAGAGGTCCCAGAGTAAATGTGATGCCAGGAGGCTAATCTAGGAATCCCAACCGACTCTCCAGAAACCCCTGGTCCTTCACTCAGCCCTTGTTCATGCCAGTGCCCTCTCCTGGCACCCTGTCTCCTGCTCCCTCCCTCTCTAAATCCTGCCCATCAAGGCACACCTTCCCAGGAGACCCAGGGGACTGTGCTATCTGACGTGGGCCCTGGCTGGCTATTATGATCACCTAGGAGCTCTTAAAAGATACCATTGCTGCCCTACCTTGTTTGGCACAGTGGACTGAAGGGTCTCAGGTTCAATTCTGGTCAAGGGCACATGCCCAGGTTGTGTGGGCTTGATCCCCAGTAAGGGACATGCAGGAGGCAGCCAATCAGTGATTCTCTCTCATCATTGATGTTTCTGTCTCTCCCTTCTCCCTTCCTCTCTGAAATCAATGAAGATATTTTTAAAAAAATATATTTTATTGGCTTTTTACAGAGAGGAAGGGAGAGAGATAGAGAGTTAGAAACATCGATGAGAGAGAAACATCGATCAGCTGCCTCCTGCACATCTACTGGGGATGTGCCTGCAACCCAGGTACATGCCCCTGACTGGACCCGAACTAGGGACCCTTCAGTCCACAGGCCGATGCTCTATCCACTGAGCCAAACCGGTTTCGGCAATAAAGATATTTTAAAAAAAATACCATTGCTTCCGAGTCTTGGGGGAGGCATGAATATATATTTTTTTAAATCCTGCAAACGATTCTGATGCCCTTTCTCTGAGACAGTGGTTCTCACCTTTGAATGGGCATCAGAACCACCTGGAGGAGTTGTTAGAACACAACTTGCTGGGCCCCACACCAGGGTTTCTGATGAGCAGGCCTGGAATTCATAGTCTGGGGTTTGCATTTCTGACAAGTCCTCAGGGGATGCTGATGCCACTGGTCCCCAGACCACATTTCAGAACCTACAGCTTTGCAGCTACCCAGGCAAGAGCTGTCTCCTGGGCCTCTGGTGGCTTGGGGCCTCTCAGGCCCGTCTCCTTTTTGATGCCAGGTCCCCAGGGGCAGGGACCACTCTGAGTTTCCTCATGGACCTCCGAGTCCTCGTATCATTGGGCCTCCCTTCCCCAGTCTGGCTCTGTGGCCCTGCCTCCTGTTGCACTGACCACTGGCCAGCCTCGTGTTCTTGGCAGCCTCCTCTGGGACACGTGCTCAGGAAATGCCTGCTGTTTGGTCCAGGCGGGAGGAGGTGGACAGCGAAGGATGCACTAGCTCTGAGAGCCATCAGAACATGGGACGGCTCTGCAGCTCCTGCAGAAGTGCCTGGAGCCAGAGCAGCATTACTGGACCAGGGGGAGGTGTCCGAGCCCCCCACTTCGTTGAGACTGTAGAAAGACCCGCCACATTATTTCACTTTCCTACCCCGTGGAGGGCAAGTGTTGGATCACTGCCTTGTATGCCTTGTTAATAATAAAAATGCTAAAGTGCACAAAAAGCAGCTCTTCCCTTCTCCTTTCCTCACCCGGACTGGAGATGTTGGGAGGGCGGGAGCATGAGGGGGGAAGGGGGGCGGTCAGTGCTCGAAGTAGGGTGTCTCCATCACCTTCTAGGGCAGTGGTTCTCAACCTTCCTAATGCCGCGACCCTTTAATACAGTTCCTCATGTGGTGGTGACCCCCAACCATAACATTATTTTCGTTGCTACTTCATAACTGTAATTTTGCTTCTGTTATGAATTGTAATGTAAATATCTGATATGCAGGATGTATTTTCATTGTTACAAATTGAACATAATTAAAGCATAGTGATTAAACACAAAAACAATATGTAATTATATAAGTGTTTTCCGATGGTCTTAGGCGACCCCTGTGAAAGGGTCGTTCGACCCCCAAATGGATCGCGACCCACAAGTTGAGAACCGCTGTTCTAGGGGTCCTAGGTGTCTAGGACAACAGATAGTCGGTGACTCAGGCCCGCCCTGGGCTGCTGGGGTCGAGTCTTCCTTAGAAGCTGGAGAGCTGGAACACAGCCTGGGGGAGGAGAGGTGGGGGCCAGCCTCTTAGCTCTGCAGGGCGAGGCCGGATGAGCTTGGCGTGAGCACAGGCGCTGGCTGTTCTGTTCGGTGCCATAGTCCCAGTGCCCAGAGGAGAGCGAGGCACGTAGTGCGTGCTCAGTAGTCTTTGTGGAGGGAGGGGAGGGAGCATGCTTTGAGCCCCCGCTGTGTGCCCAGAAGCGAGGACACAGCAG